TCGCATAGAACATCCGTACGAAATGCTACAGCAGTTTTAGGTATAAGCATTTAACGAATCGATTATTCACCATGTACAATCATATTATTTAATGCAGCCGAGACGGTTTTGGACGCAATTAACGTTTTGTCGATTTATAATTTATGTGAAATATAATTCATACCTAATGGCATAACACTCAAAACGCATTTTAACAGCGACCAAAATTATGTTCATTTTCATTTTAGATGACACCATGCGGCGCGAGGTTTACATAATTATTTACAACGGCGTGTTATGATATCAATTCATTCGGCGAAACACTACTATAACTACCACACATACCAGTAAAACAATAAAACGGGTTTTAGCGTCATTCTGTGTATAAAAAATGTGTACGTCGGGAGCGAATGAATTGAGGTCAGTAATTTCGGATGTAAACCAAACACGCACTCGTCACAGTGAACACACGGTCGCCCGCCAAAAATAAATTCAACGTTGACAAAACGAAACTGAACCCGTACATGAGCTGATATCGCTACAGGTTTTACACGGCATCGATTCTTATTGTTCGCAAATTTTAAAGCTCACGAATAAAATGTTACGGTAAAAGCAGTGCGTTTTCACCGATCAGAAATCGAACGCGAAACGGTAAGCTTCAGATGTGTTCTTTCGGGACGGGAAAGTTTCGGAATGGTTTTCGAAAATCTTATAAAAAAAAAAAACTTCGTAACATGTAATTATTATTCATGATAATGTACCTTTTTATAAATAATTGAACCCCGCTATGATTTAGGTTGTCATTTTGGTTTTCGAGATAAAGGTATTCCGGATATTCGAATGAGCTAACGTGGAATCGTAAAATATTGTTTCGTTACATATCCGCTTTTCGACGAAACAATATTGCAGATGTAGGAAATGAAAGCCTGGAAGCGGTTCGTAGACCAATGGGGCATTTTCCAAGGCAACTGTCGAATCAAGAGAATTACTCTTTCAAACGTCACTAAAAATGTTCTACTGAAATAAATGTAAATAATTATATTTAAATTTATCTTGTATATATTAAAATTTTAATAAAATAACATTATAATCGTTATAGCCTTTACCTTAAGGGGGTTGCAGTCGATCGTGTTTTAAGGAAATCAATATAGGCAATTTAACATGATAGCATTAAACTGACTTGTGTATGCAAAGTAAACGAACGTAAGTGTGTGTATATTTAATCTCGCTCAATATTTACTAGGAACCGTCTCACCGTCAACATCAAAAATCGTAAACAACTAATTATGTGGGTCATAAATATTGTTATCAAAAGTAGGTCATTTAAAATAACCAAATCTTAATAATAAAATAACTTATTTGAGTATTCTTTATTTATATACTCAAACACCTGTATATAAGTAAGGTGCTCCGAGGAAGGTGAGTGCTAGAATAGACGAAGTCAACTTGAGTACTTACTACTTATTACAATTTATACATATTAATATTATGTATTTATGCTATAATAATTGATTAAAATATATACACATATATGATTAAAACTTAGCGTTATTTAACTCACATAAATGTACATAATATTGTAAGTTAAATATCTTGGAGAAAAAAATAATGCGATCCAAATAATATGAATATCAAATCAAATTATTATATTTTTATATTTTATTTGCAAACTTTTACAGTAAAAAAATTAAGCGTCATCAAAGTTAGTCACGTAAACGACGATTTCTATCAACTCTTGAGCCTATTAACTCAGACAACATCGCTTGAAAATAAAAATTTTCTAATAATGCTTTTATTTTGGTTTCAAAAAAATCATCATCTTAAAATTGTTTGGTATAATATATCTGTAAACACACGAAAGCGGAAATCAATTAACGATAATTATTAGTTGTTACCAATAATTATTTGTAATTTAAACATTATAATTACCTTTAGGTGACCATATTATAAAATAACAAAACAATATTTGAGTTATTTGTAATTGACCCATAGTTTAAAAAATAATATTTGTCACTTTTTTTTAATTATATATTTCCTTGACTGTTAATAGTTGCAAATTTTCATTTTCCATTTTCTGTAGCTTCTTTTGAAGTTAATTGTTTAATTGTAAATGGACATTTTATTTCATCCATACCGTTATAATTTAATAGTCCATCCGGACTTGCTGCTAAAAAAGATAGTTGTTCATAAATGAAAAAGCCAGATTCTTGAATTTTATACACTGTTCATTTTTGAAACTCTATCTTCGTAAAGGGATCACACTCAATACCATATCTCGTATGTTCATTTCCGCAAAACGTTTTATACAACATTGACTTTATTGTATTAGCTCTAGACGTCACCGGTCGAAGTTTACAAATGGTTTAAAGTTTGATGCGGTTAAACGAATTCGTCTTTCTTTATATCATAATTCACATTGAGATTGAAGTGTAGTCGATTTTTCAATTAATTTGATTTCATGCTTTAGTAGAGTTGTTGAATATTTTCGATTAATTTTCAAAATTAAAATCTGTCAAACCCAAGTCTCACAGATTTGTTAATTTTTTTGGCCTGTTTTACATGATTATTGGTACCTGCTACAATCCCCTTAATCGTATTTTATTATGTAGTATTGCATTAACTTTGCGTATATTGCGTTCATTTAATCCAATGTAAATTTAAGTAATATATATTACACATAAAATGTAGTCTAAACGATCATAATATAAGTTCGTTGTTTTTATCAGCGCAGAAAATTGATATTTTCTGAAATATTATTACGGTGCCCACCGAAAAGGTCATTGAGTAGTTTTCGACGTTTTCGGTTATAGAGTCAAAACTGTAAAATGTAAAAAATTCGATTATGTCGCTAATATATTGTGATTATTTTTGTTTCGTGCTGATCGAATCGTATGTAATTTGTCATATTTTATTATACATTCTTATACAAAAAAATATCTATCTTTATAAGTATTGGTATACATTAGCACTTTATTACGGTCATTATTTATATTTCAAATTATGTAAACGGTGATTGGTTTTTTTTTTTATTTAAATGTTATCTTTATATATTAGATCATGAATAGTTTTTGTATTGTGTTATTTGTTTGTTTATTTGTATATTTTTTGTAATCATTTTAGGTACACACATATGCGCTCAAACTGGTATAATTTCCGATGGTTAAGTAGTTAAAAAATTAGTCAACTCTATGGTACTATAATAATTCGATTTATATTTTGAATTTTAAACTATCTAGTAGGTTTCATTTCTATAAACAAACACATGCAGCTATTTAGGGGCCAGAGGCTACACTCAGGAATAGTTATTACGTTTTGTATTTCATCACAAATATATGTGTGATAATTATTCGTATAATAATGGGACGTATTCCCAGACAAATGTTGTGTTGATATAATAGGATTTTATGATGCACTATAGTAATTGTGTATGTAGTAATTGTGATGCAACTTATTTTTAAACAACAAAATAATATAATAATAAAATTATATGAATCAATAAATTATCGAAATCAGGTATTTACCATAAATAAATAATTTACCATAAATACCATTGGTTTTATAATTGACACTGAGTCGGCTGTTAAAGATACATTTTAGTAATAAACATTTCCGATAGAAATCAGTGTCATATTTGTTGTTCGAAAATAATAAAAAATATAATTGGTTTCTATAATTGTCACTGGTTATTACTACTATCTTAATGAAAACCCGTTTTGAAATTCTTAATAAATCGATATATTTTTTTTTATCCCTACAATTTGTATTTATTGAATAATAAGTTTGTCGTACTATACAAGACTTTGTCAAAACTAATATTAAGTTAAAATTAATTATTTTATTTTGTGTATAATAAACTAATAATAAATAATATTATAATATATATTAAAATGTCTGGAAATGCCGTAATACGAGTACGATATGCACAACAGTACTGCATAAACGTAACGATAATTGTTGAAAATCGTATCAAACTAATTTGCACAATCTATTGTAATTTTTATTGTATCGTGTATGAGACGCTTTAGTCTTGATAAAAATGAATAATGGATCATTATGTACCTATATCAATCGATTCAATGCCATGAAATGGACTTAAATGTATGAACTGTAAATTCAAAATCTACAAATTAATACTTATACTAAGCTTTGGAAGTTGTTCCATTTGTAACTTTTTTTCTGTTGTTCGGATTCATTACTAAGTAAGTTATAAATTATTAAAATCTAAAAAATGTCACTGTAACTTATGCAATTTTTAACATTTTTTCGGTTTGATTGCAATTTTGTTGATTTTTCTCGTTTAAATTATAATTTTAGATATTTTTAAATATTCTTCACAAGATTTAATTGTTTTTTTCTTTTTTTTTTTTCGTAAGAAATAAAATAACGATGTGGGCCGTATCAGATATTAATATAATGCAAAATAATATAGTAATAATAAATAATAAATTATGATTATTTCGGGCTTAGTCGATTGTAATGTACTATCAGAATATGTGAGTAATATCTCACAGAACTAATATTTACCGGGATGAACAGTAACTAGGTTGGGTTGTAAATGATATTTCTATAAACGTTTGATTTATTTTTTTTTTTTATTTTACAATATTTTTTTTTAAAACAAATTTAAATTATGTATGTATTAATACAACGTAAATAACTATTCCGACGATACATACGACTCATGCTTTGAGGATGCTATAAATTGTATTAAAACTTACATTTTGACATGTTTTATAGGTATTTTTGAACGAATCTATAAATATTTTGAGTACTTTTGTCCGTAATCATTTTGCCTATTTTGGTATAATTTACTCGTCCGGAAATCTTCGTGCGCATGACGCCGTTGTATAGTGATCGTTAATTTAATTTTGTAACTACTTAATCGGCGGTTCCGTCGTTTTGCCGGTAACCGTTCCCATTGACCTATTCTGTTATTTTGTGACGAGATTAATAGGACTACCCAGCGAAACAGACGAGAAGTCCTGCAGAATGATAATTTCCTCCATTTGCGGTTCGACGATTAAAGCGAACCGATGTCGTTTCCTATTCCCTCCAACGCGACGCTGCAGCATATTGTTATCCTTCCAGCACACTCCGTCGGATAGTACCATTATTGTTGACGGTTTCCGAATATGAAACTACGTCTCGTGTTCCTCGTCTTCGTCCTGATCACAGGTAAGTGAAATACTGAAATATATGTCTAACTATAATCTTTCGGTCGATTTGAAATTTTACGCGAACGTGTTAAAATTTAACTAATGTTGTAGAAATTAAACGATTTAAATTTAAGTTTTCTCGCCCATGAAAAAAAAAACAACGTACAATACGTCATATCGGCTATTAATAGTTCACCATAATAATATGGTGACTCACAAGCTTATAATTAATCGGTATGATTGAAATTGTAATATTTTTATATATTTTTGTTTTTATAGCTTTTATGTTCAATATGGCATTCACGTAAATATTCACAGGACTATTTTCTTAGTTGTTTTCTCCTTAAAATTGTGACCAATGTTTTTTGTCTTTATAATTTATTAAATAATAATGTTAAACCAAAAGACCGTAAACAATACAATATACGTAAGCGTAATTATTAAATTATATTATTCGAATTATGAAAGCGTCTAAATTCAATTTACATACTGAAAACACTTGAAAAGTTTTAAATAAAATATATTTCATGCGATCGTATTACACAATTACTTTGCGTAATTCGTTAATAATGTTTACTCATATGCCTATTGGACATCATATAGAAAATACTCAAGCTTCCCTTTTTTAGGTGTAACGTTAAAATTCGAACGTAAACGAATTATTTTCATTCGTACATTTTCTGATTTATTATTATTATCGGATCTATAATTTGTGTTATACACGGTTTAGAACTTACACGAGACATAATTGTGTTAAATTTCATCGGACTGAAATATTTTTATTATTTTTCACTAATAACAATTTTGATTTCTCACGCAGAATGTTGCGCACTCGAGTCAATATATGATAATCATCTCACATGATAACAAGATTTCATGACTGCGCGCGTGTATATTTTGCGTTATTGAAATAGACAGGAACAACACCGGTGTAATCCCGAGACGACGTTGATGGTTTCTCATGTCGTTTTTTTTTTTCTTTTCCTCTCGGACGCTTTAATAACATTACACAATATTTTCTTTGACGTCATTCGCGGAGATTATTTTCCATTGCAAACTTCGTCCGTTCGCTCGGTGCACAACGATATAACGAAATTATACGACTCGATCGGAATATGCTTCGACGGGCCCCGGGCACGGTTCTGCAATCGACGAAACGCGGAATACTACCGAATTACGGATTTATTTGAGCTTGTAATCAAACACGGGAAATCGGTGAACCGTCACATGCATGCGTCACGTACAACTATTATATTATATGATCCGGTGCAACGTAGGTAACGTAATTATTATTCGAATTCGCCTGCTGGTACAACGCGCGCGCGTTCTATAACTACTGCGAGATGGTGTGTCACACTCGTACGGCGTTCCGGGAAATCCGTCGAACGCTGTGTTTGATACGCGTCACGATTTGAAAAATAAGTCCACGAAAACGGCAAACGCACCGTAATCACGCAATTTCTTCGTGCGAGGGAAAATTTTATTTTCATTTCAATACATTTTTCTATCAACATTATACAGTGCAAGAAATTGCGTACGCCACGAATACATTTTACAATACGATATAATCCGCGCAGAGGATTTTCGAATAAATGCATTTACCCGTTTATTAAAACTTATTACTACGATAAAACGGTTTATACATTATAGTTTTTTTTTTTTATATTCTGCTCGTTTGATGTGATTTAAATTCGTTATTATTATATCTTATTCGTTAATAAGCGTCTAGGATTTTTTCAGCCCTTTACTTATCGCACCCGTGGACATAACATAATTGTTCTAAATATTTATAAAAGTAGCCAAAGTTCATTGCTGTGCGAAGTACAGAAAATGCGAGCGCAGAAGACGATAAAGTGAAATGTTTGAACATTTTATTTAATCGAAGAATCGTTATAAGATTTAGATTTTAACGGGGTGTAACATTTTTTAAATAAAAAATAAGAAATAACAACAGCCTTAGTTTAATGTATAAAACTAAACGCTGAATTTTAAGAGTACAGGCTATATCTATTCTACAGTTTCAGTTTTCAGTTGTTACACAAAACATACTCTTATCCTGGCTATATGTCACTACCTCCCCCCCCAATTTTAAAATTCAAAGCCAAAGTTATGGCATTCGATTGTGCTTCGTTTGTGCTTGTTTGTGCTTCTAATTCCGTTGTTTTTGCTCAACTCCTTCTCGAGAAATATAACTTTGAAAGTTGGGGAATGAAATGTTCTCCAGCTACACTTATTCTTACGTCTCTGGTGAATAACAGTTCACATAATTACATTTTATTAACTATATTGATGTCAAACACATATTAAAAATTATTTTTACCGTTGCTCTACATGCAACTGAAAAAAAATCATTTTATGACCAGTACACACCATGTGAAATAGCAAAAGTGTATTTGAAGCAATGGATTTGTTACTCATACAACTGCCTATGATCAGATAATTATAGATAGCAACAGCCATAAAGACAATGACAATTTACAAGAAAAGTCTGTAACGATAAATTATATAGATAATCCCATTTTCCAAGAAATAAAATGTATTTTTAACCTCTGTATTGAAAGTTCAAATGACAAATCTAATAGCACAAATGATTGCGATAACATACAGTTTTGTCCAACAATTGCAAAGTGATTATTTGATTTTAGTAAATTGATATAATTTTGGTCAGCCTCAATGACAGAAAACATAAAATTATTTTTACGTACTTAATAATAAATTATTTTAATCTATCAATGTAGGATGAAGATGAGAGTAGCTTAAAAAAAAAAATAAAAAAAAGTTTTAAATGTATGAAATGTTACCACCAAAATGCAAAATTGACTTTTACCAAAAAGATGCTTGTAAATGTTTGTTCTTTGGCGCAAAATATCTTAACATGGTTTTATGAAAAATGTAGCTAAAAATATAATATTTTAGTCGAGAAGTGAACACTTACCCCTTGTCTGATTGTAGCAACATATTTGGTTTTTACGACAAACCAAATAGTTTACGGTTATATATGGTACTTCTTTTTATTTTCATCCTTTGTCTTTCTCCCAACTATTTGGGGTCAGCCACCCTTGTTTTAAACCTTCACTTGTCTTGAATTTCTACATTTCCTACGCACACACCAACGACCCTCATATCATTATCAATCGTATCCAACCATATTTTCTTTGGTCTTCCTCTTTCTCTTTTTCCTTCAACGTTCATTTTCATAACAAGTCTTACTACATTTGTTTCCTCTCATCTCATCAAATGCCCAAACCATGTCAGTCTATTTTCTCACATCATTTCTACTATAAACGCTACGCTAATACTACCTCTCACATATTCGTTCCTTATTCTATTTTCTCTTGTCACTGATCCATCTAAGCATTCTTATTTCCTTAATATTTATACTGTGTTCTATTCTCCTGTTAACCGTCCAACACACTAAACCATATAGCACCCATATAGACATAGTTGCTCTCACGGTTATATATCAAAGAAAAAAATATATAAATATATGTAGAGAGTTATCATCAGAGACGCAAATAGAAAAAAATTATTTCTACAAAGGAAAGTATCTGGTACATTTGCCAACATTTAAAGTTGTATTCCTCAAGAAGAAGTTGAGCACAAACTATGGGATTGAAAGCACAAACGAATAACATAACTTTGGTTTTGTGTTTTCAAAGTGAGAGGGCCAGGGACATAGAGTCTTTTAATCGTATATAATAACACATAACGTAGTTTTGTAATCGGAATAATTGTATTTATATACAGATTTAATCTGTATATAAATAACGTGTTATAAAAATGAATGTATTATTAAAATGAAAATTTGAATGAACTTTCTCATTATTTACAAATAAATTTAAGGAGATTATCTAAAATTGTTAAAAAAAAAAACCTCTTAAGTACGTCATAATAACCATAAATAATAGGATTGCAGCAACGATGCGGTCTGCCCATTTTCAACACTTTCGGTCGCATTTGCCATCAATTGTTTTATTTAAATATACATGTATGTATATACTTTTATATACTTAAATAAACTAAAGCTTTCCTTCACACTTCAACATTCATAGGACTGGCAGTAAACATTAATATAATATTAATTGAAGTGTGTTAAAGTTTTATTTTGGTTTTTCGAAATTATTGAAGTTTATCATGTTATCATTATATACATATATATTCGTACATTTTATTCAACATTTTATATAACCAATATAATTAATGTAAAACAATACAATTTGTTAAGATATATATTGCAATTTTTGGACATAAACTAGATTTTTAAGACGTTTCCTTCTATAATCTAAATGCTGATAAATATAGTATTTCGAGTTTTGATAACGTTGGAGCAACTTTAGGAGCTATCGACTGACCTAGGTTGTGTGGATGTATGCGGTGTATGCGCATTTTGTATATTGCAAGTTTGTACGAATAGTCCAAACAACCAGTGTAAGATTATTTGTACTGCGTATGACATGGTCTACTCGTGATCGACGTTCGTCACAATTTGCTGGAAATCCGTTTATGCAGTGTTAATTTTTTTTTTTTTACGAAAATAAGATCTGATAACGAATGACGTGTGACAGTCAAAACATTGATCTCGTCAAACCAAGTTCTTTGCAAGTAAGATGATACTTGGTAATCGTTACCTATTGTTTGAACCCTATGTAGAGGTTCTAAGACAACTTGGGTGGGCCAACTCCACAATTTCAAAAGTTTATGATTGTCACCTAAGCGAGTTGCGAATTCTACAGATTTGCGAATGCTTGCTAACCAGGGACGGTGCGAGAGGGTAGGTAATAGGGGCAGTTGCCCAGGACCCCGCGCCTTAAATTATAATTAAGGCCCCGCGATTCTGATTTAACTGAACTTAAAATATTTTATTAATATAAATTATAAGACCCAACATTTATTTTGCCCAGGGCCTTGCAAACTCTAGCACCGTCACTGTTGCTAACCATTAGCTTTCGTTTGATACTGATTTCTAAGTTCTAGATCAAAATGGGCGGATTACGTGAAATTGGTTGAGCTTTAAATTTTTCGTTTTCACGGTGAAACTTTGGACTTACAAATTATAAAAATTGACTTACAAATAATTGCAAATAACTTGCAAAATAATGGCATTGATTTAAAACAAATTACAGTATTTAGGTGAGCTAACTTCACGAACGTCCATTTACCGGATAATGGAACTTGCACGCAATGCAAATACTCATTTAAAATATCGATTCGACTGAACCACAGTATCGTCAACTGGTACGTCCCGTCAGATCATCGCAGAAATAACGTCACGTTAAAAATATTGCGCATCAATAATCTTGGGCGTCATTACTATCGCAATATTTACTATTTACTGTAAGATACTTTTAAGTAACAAGATAATAATTTGTTAGCTTCGTGTTCGAACCATTCGTAATGTTTTTACTTTCTAGTAATAGTATTGGTTTGATAATAAAACACAGCAAACAACAATAAGCAACATGAAATCAACCAAAATACCTAGTGGAATATTATTAAAATATAATTCTTTCTTATTTCAAAACTAACGTGCAACAACAAATAAAATCAATTGGAGATATTTTGGAGTACACCACGAAGAAAGTTGACGACTATTTGCACAGCACATCATTTCTAATACCAACCAATAAAATTAATCAAATATTGAAAAATATGATGTAACTATATAGTATACTTGTAGTTATGTATTATAAAATTATTAATCATGTGTAATTGTAAGTATTTTAATTGCTATTAATTTTTAACTCGGATGAAAATGAATTGCTATATCATTGTGATATTTTGATGTGTGATTTTGATCCATATCATCTTAATCTCGTTTTGCCTTATAAACTCCAATAATACATTATTTTTCTAGAAAATATTAAAAATCATTAGGTCAATGAAAATAAAAAGTTGAATCATTAACTGGCCAAGAATAAACTTTATAAAATGCAAAACTTCAAATTTTTCGAAAATAAGATAATTAAAACGTTAATATTTTTTAAATGTTTTCATCAAAACATAACAACTTGATCGAAATTTGAATATTTGTAATCATTAACCATGCGAATCATGTAAAAAAAAAACAACACAATTTGATTATTTTTATTATCTCTGGAGGTATCACAGTACCTAAATTACCACAGTATCACAAGGTATATATTTGTAGTGTAATATACTCGTACTACTCATCATTATATTCTTTATACGGTAATTACTCTGTATTTATAATGCGATTGTTTAAAACAAATATGCAAACGTTACAAGCTTCCTCTGCTATTATTCTCAAAACTTACAAAACACTACTTTTGTCGTGTTCCTATTAACAAAAAATTAAATTTTACGTTTACACCACAAATAACACCACCGCCGGTGAGAGTTCAATGGGAGACTATAACAACGGATTATGTTCAGTGGTGTGTTCCCATGAGGTATACTATATATACGCCGTACACCCTCAACATTATTTTGAATATTCATGGGTGTACTATATATACTCTCAAGTCTCAAGCACTTGACGGAGAAGTACTAAATGCAATCAATTTTACGGGTTTCAATTTTGGCGTTTTTTGTAACAGACATTCAGTTTTTCCTCGAACGATTAATAGGTGGTATCCATTTGTTTAAATAATTTTAATTTCTATTTCTTTATTTACCAATTTAAACTGTTTGTAAATATTTACAGCACTATCCCCACCACCCAAATCGTAAACATTTCCATTTACAGACCTACGTCTGCGTAGTATACTCTCAACAAAATTGATGGGAACATCGCTGTTTTGTTCACAGGATACCGACCGCGGCCGGCCAACGACTTCGCCACTGCAGCCGCCTCGTCTGCCCCGTCCGCCATTTCGGACTTGGTCACCGGACGCGCCTCTTCGTGCAACGATCTTAAGACCGCGGTCTTGAGGTGCAAGACGACCGCCGCCTCTTCTACCGCCAGTGGCGGCAGGGGCGACGGTGCTTACGGCGAGGCCGTGCTAGTACCGTCGGATCGCGGGGACGACGACGTCTCGCGATCGTCGTCACTGACGATCGATCGATCTCAGCGGCTGCTGGACGATTCGGACGGTCGGCGGAAGAGGCGGCGTCGGTGGTCTCGGGTCGACGACACGCAGCCGACGGCTGGTTACCGACGGGCGGTGGTCGAACGGCAACGACCGAGGACCAAGCGGAAGACCATCGAGGACATGATATTGTACGGCATTTTTTTTTTCATCGAAAAACTGGAGCTGACCGTGTACCTGTCGCTGTACAAAATCCAACTGCTCTACACCGCGTTTGTCGCGCCTCTGTTATCGTGACCACGCGCATCAGCCGTCGAGACTGTTGCTGACGTTCATTGTTGTTGTTCGACTGTCTCGCTGTCGTTTCCGATGTCGCCACTATAAATACGACAATATCGTTTTCGTCGTTACCAACGCCACTGTTGGTACCGATGTAACGTAACAATTATACATTGCAATAACATATAGGTATATACAAAGGCGGAACTAGAGGAAGGAAGACGGGGATTCATCCCCGGGCGTAATTTATGTGATTATTAACTACTAGTTTGATATTTATAACTTTGTTAAATACTGATATTAGGTTAAAACTCAACAAGTATGATTGTATATTTATTATTAGAAAACAATTCTCGATAAGAGTACTTGACTATTGGGGTCTATGATGGAGCGTAATTTTAACATTTTCCCCGGTCGTAAAAATTACTGGTTCCACCTCTGGATATACACCTATAATATGTATAGTGTTTATAATTTTTTTTTTCGTTGCCGAAATTAAGTCGCATACTATTGTCATCGTATAATATTAATAATAATAATAATAAAAATAATACGTTTCCTGAGCAATTATATATTATTTATTACTGCTGGTGACGCGACTGCCCCGAAGCGTGAAAACTGCATTGTATATTTATTATCACCATTACAACTAGTGCCATTACTGTGTTATCTGTTGTTCGACACGGATGCGCATTCCCTTCGCAACAGAAATGCGGTTATACGGTCAGTGGTTAGAACACCAGTTGCGATCATCCACGTGTCTACGATAGTGCGACTCTAATACTATATCGTTGGTCACATTTGATTTTTATTGCTGCCAAACGGTTTTGGCATTGTTTTGTTTTTAAATGGAAATCCGTATTGTTTCGAGTGCAAACGGAAAAAATGAGGTTATCCAAATGTTATCAGTACGACCCTCTCCAAGTGTTTAAATTCTACGGACAGTAAAGTGCTTGAAAATGTTTTAAAACAATTACAAATAGGTACATTTATGCGTTCTACACAAATATACCTATTAAGTAATTGAAGTACGCATACATGTATATTGAAATACTTAAAAAATTGCATCTTATATACAGTCTAACGCGTAGTTTTACACTGTAACACGTGTATTGTACTTTTGAGCTTATTATAAATATAAATACTTGTGTTCATATGTACCGTTAATTTTCACTAGTACAACATTACGTGCAGGCTAAAATATATACTTTTGCGTACTGCACGCTTAAGGATTTTGTCATACTCCCCTTTTAAACGGTAACAGTATAGTCATTATAACGAGTAACACATTTAAAATAGTTTTTACTGATAATAGATCTTTGAATTTTAAAAATATGTAAATAATTTAATAAAAAAAAATATAAAATTAAAAACAAATACCATAATATGGAGGATAGAACCATAACGCACTTTTTAATTTCGTATTACACACTTAACATTTAATATTACACAAAATGTGACGTACTGCCCATAATATTAGTCCCTGGTGTTACGTCCACAGTGCGTGTGGTGTACAAGATTGAAGTTTACGAGTTTTGAAACAAACGTTGTACACGGTAGCTGCGTATATTTTATTGTTAAATATCATATTATGCAAATAGGCGTACCGTAAATAATTTTTTTGTTCACGGTTTGGTATAGTGTTTCATTACATTTTAATGGTTGCAAAATGATCAAAACATTACATATATAATATATTATAGTACTGCAACTGTAATATCGTACTCGCACGTCCGGGAAAATATTTATAAACAAAAGTAAAAATAAATACAATCAATCAAATTATACGAAATACAATAATGCGTTACAACTTGTACGGTTTCGCGTTGAACACTTGCTGAATAAATAATACTCTGATAAAATATGAGTAATGCAGTATAGATTTCTGAAGAATGCGCTTTTCGAACAACGGTTAGCAAAGGTATCGAATAAAATTTGATTTTTTTTTCCACGGCCGATGGTCGATACCGAACCCATCGATGACGTACAATATACAATACGTTAATGAAGGATTAATACGACAACTATGATAACCAAACCTGTAAGTAATAAATTTAAAAAGAATTTTTAAATCACGACATGTATAACTATAAAGCTTAGAAGCACCCTTGAATGATTCGTGAATGCATTGGAAAAGTATATACATATATATAGTGTGTGTGTGTGTGCTGCAGTTCTCAAATCAAATATAGTTTGGTGATTATTTAATTCAGATTTGAACGCAGTAAAATATTTCAAAAAATAAATCTATACATGTTTATCTTTGATGCATCTTAAATGTGTATACATCAAACACTACAAAATGTGAGATAAATAACATAAAATTGTTCAGAGCCGTGTTAAGTATTTCAGTGCTTCAGGGAAAAAAATTTCGCGCCCCTTTACGATTTAATTACTAATTATTTTCTTATTATATAAATTTCCATGGGATACCATATTACCAAACACCACGAAAACTAACTAAAATATAATATACAATATTTATTATACATAATTATTAATTTATTTTAATTAAAAACATTGATAACAAATTAACCGTTAACATAATTAACGTATAAAAACACCAAATAATATTTTATAATTATTTCTTGTTTTATCTCTAGCAAATATCTGGACTAAAGTATTTCAATCAATACTCTTTATTATTTCAGATTCCATACACAAGAGTGATAAAAATGGTTTTTTTTTTAATTTACTAATAATGAGCGGAGATATATTTTTACTTTTTTTTAAAACAGAAAATGAGCGTTTATCACTAGAATTTTAACAAGATATGCATGTAAATATTTAAAGTGCAATTTCTATTTATGGAAATGTAGAACATATATTATATTTTATTGATGCTTGAAAATAATTTTTTTGACTTTCTGCCATACATGAAATCATTTGTTGAAATTGTATTAATTCTTCAATAAATTAAATTCCTAAGTCATCTTCATAATACTTATTAACTTTTTGCTTTTAATCTAAGGTTAATTTGATGTATGTATTCTAAATTTAGAAAAAAAACAAATTTTTTTTTTTTTGATTCATTGTACGTTTCATTGCGATTATTTAAATTACTAATTAAAGCATCAATGATAGGAAAAAATGTTTTAAATTTCATATTTTCTTTTTCTGAAAAAAAAATGTGAAAAAAAATTATCTTCCGTATTTCCGTCATCAAAAAATACAGTCCTTTTTTTGTCTTCTTGCCTCAATAGGAAACAAATCCATTTCACATTCTGAAATTCACAAATACCTATGGCTTTATTTAATATAGTTTCAAAACTATTTCTTAATTCAAGTGAATTGTATGATTTTACCACAAAAGATAAATCTATATTAACAAATTGCAAACTTTTGCTGGTCATGTTAAATCTCAGTCTCGCGCCTTGTTCATCATTATCATAAATGTATAAAAATAAACGATCACGGCTGACAATGACAATAATAACAATATATTAATTGGAAATAAAACGTAATTTACTAATATTACTAATATTTAGTTATATCCGGTAATTATATCCAAATACAAGGAAAAAGGCTTTTTTTTATAACCTGCCGTCGACGTACTATATTATGCATGATTCTGAAACAAACCTCATAATACAAGTAGATATATATTATAAATCCATATTTTATATTTTTAGTTCATAATTATATTAATTATAAGTATCTAGAACAGAAGGTACTTATAATCAATAGTAATACACAGTAGTCAGTAGTCAGTATAGTCCACGATCGATAAAATTGTAAAGGATTTTCGATGTGAAAGACTAAATAGATTTCTTTTGTCGTCGTTAACCACAGTGTCCTTTGTTTATTATTTATAAAATTAGAACATATTTGGTTTTCGGGGCCACAAGTAACATATTAAGCACAAATAAAGGTGCTCTTTTACTTTTACAAAACTATGGCACCCGGGGGCAATTGCCCTTTCGCCCCCTCTCCTCTTTAACACGGCTCTCGTATTGTTAAAACATCCGTTACAAACATAATGAACATACAATTTTTGTGGATCAATATACGTATATGATATTGTACATTTTTGATGATGTCTTTCAATACATTTAAGTCAAATCTTATTTAAATATTTTTACATAAATGCATATATTTCATCCAATCGATTTTAATACCACGTTTGAAATGCAGTTATACTTATATTAAAATGTACAGTAAATTTAACACTTTAGTGCATATCATAAATATAAAATATGCATAGGGGTAAAAATAAAAACGAACTGCATTTTTATTTTCACCCCTATGTTCATAGACAGAAATCAGATTGGCGGGGGACTAATTATTTTCTTATTATAAAATAGTATCGCATGCTTTTAAAATATTTTAACATCAAAAAGGAAAAAGTAATCTTGTTGAGCATGACATTTTTAGAACAAAAAGTTTTAATTTTGTATTAACAGTATTATACTATTATGTAATCATGCAAACGTATTGCTTTATTTAATTTAACATCAAAACATAATAATCAAATATTATCTAAACTTTATTGTATGAATCGAAAATGTTAAAGAGAATTTATATTTATAAACGCTATCACAGAAATTAAAATAAAAACTTATAAAAACGTAAAACTTCTTAAGAATTATTAATTTGCGCTTTCACATTTTGTATTATACATATGTTTTTTTTACCGAAACGATTAATTTATTTGTGTGTTATAATAATACATGAGCTTCATTCTATATGTTGAAACAGTTGAAATATATCAATATACATTATTAAATAATAGCGTAAATATATAAATATATACGAGTATAATATAAATAACGGCGTAAAGAGTGGGCTGAGTTCTCTGCACCAAACCGGAAGCTAATACCCGATCCTAATCATGAAGTCCTAGGGATGAATCTCCCTCATAGTATCTGATCTACATGAAACAGATTACGAATAGGTTATGGTCAATTTAGTGCTCTTTTACATAAATGATGTTCTAAGCTAACTTATTTTGTGACTGGCAATAAGGAACAAACAATGGATCCCATCGAAATAGAGTGCTAAAGAAAAGAATTTAATTAAGAGTTTGAAGGTATACATGCAGTGACTTCGGAAGTAATAAGTTTTATTATAAACTTCGACATATGCTTATGAAGAATATCACATCTTATCCTATACTTTTGATTTTTGAAGTTTATTATAATTCTATTTAAGTTAAAACCATTATGTTCTATTTTATACGTCAGTTATTATTCTATCATTCTATGATTTGTTGTGATATTGTTAGTAAAGTTGA